GGGGGGGGCACGCAGAGAGGTTGAGGTGGAGGAGGGCTTGGGTTACACGCAGGCCGCACCATGAAGTGCTTATAATGGGAAAACAAAGGGGGCGGGGCACGGAAAAAAAACAAGTTAACAGTTTTATATCGGACACTTGGCTTACGTGTTTGGCATTTTCTAAAACAGAAAAGGCATACGTAAGCCGAGTATGACGTTAGAGGGCACTCGGTTTATAGAGCTCGTCGTCACGGCGCCGACAAGTGCGGTGGGGGATAGCCATGTGGCAGGTGCTTCCCGGGCCTCGCATGTAAGCCGAGTGTTTTTCACATAATATGTCGAGTTCTTTTTTGCAAGCGATTAAAATTCTGATTCTTTTACTTAGAATGGCACCATAGATTTACATGGGTGATACAAAATATCTATAATGGATAGTCTCGGTTGATTGGAGCTCTTCGTCTACGGTGGTGGTGTTCTCATGCGGCTCAGGTTGGTAATGGTTGCTCAAGACCATCTCATGGTTACCGTTGTGTTGCGGCGAGCTTGGTGCTCTTGGTGTTGTCTCGACTCATCTTTGCTCAAGGATGGCGCAAGATGGCTCTTAAACTGCTATTCGTTCCGTTTTTCTGTGGCGGAGCCCCAGTCAAGGTTCGTGTCTGGGATAACACTCGTTGATTGTGGATGCTCCTGAGTTGTGCCATGGGGCCGGTATGCTCGCCGATGCGTTGGGTTGTTTGCAAAGTCCTGGTATTGTGATCTCTCGACGACACCCACATATACTTGTGTCTCTCATGATGGTGGTCTTATGTCTGCCAGCTAGGTCGTGCCTCGTACGGTTTTCGGCCCGGTTTCCCTTATAAACGGGGTCAATTTGTTAAGGTTTTTGATCCGGTTTTCGTTATAAACTGGATCACCACTCTGGCATTCTGGACACTTTGAGTAATATATTCAGGTGGGGAAACTCCCCCCAGTGAATCTCAAAGAAAAAAACAATGGTTATCACATGTCAATCTTTGGTGGTTGATGAAAATTCTTCCTAACTGTAGCAATCAGTGATTAGCATATATAAAATCGACAAACTCCCTACACCCTGCTACACATGGTTTGGTACTATGGCTACTTTGTTAGTTCACATCATTCATGAAATGGATCAAATTATGTTACCAGCATGCTACACGAACTGAAGGCAACGAATTAATTAGAGCATCGATTAGGCATTTGACAATCATGAAAATGACGCGATGACAATAGGGTTAGTGATCTGAAAATGAACCGATGAGCTATATATGGATGTTCACTGGTAGCCTTGAGCTTGACAACATGTCGGTTAAAGTGGGGGTCATCATTAGGCTAGCTATAGAAACCCATGCTACTAATAATAAAAACTTAAAACACACGACAAAAAACGCCGTTGAATGAGATGTACTTTAACTGGTCCTATCCAAATTAATTGCCACACGTGCAGATAACAAGTGAATTGAACATAATGTGTGTTTCCTATATACTTAAAGCAAAGAAATCATCTACAACTTGTTCAGAAATGAGAGATGTTTATGCCTTTATACATATGAAATGTACTAATTTGAAACTAAATAAATCAGTGTTAACACTACAAACCTGGATGTTGAATAAATTACTACAAACGTAAATTCGAATAAACCAGCTGGATAATGGTAAACACCCTTGAAGATTATCTAGTTCAACTGATGGTTATGCTGCATCCATCACCATATGAATAGTTTCAACGCTGGACAATGAAACAAAACTGTCAGTATTAGAATAGCCAGAAACACAATTGTTAGTATTAGAAATCAATTGATTCATCGACCAATCATCATATCCATGTCTACAACATGGAAAACAGCCACGTCTAGAACAAGAAAATGGCATACACATAGCAATTACTTTGACAAAATCTGCTTAATAACAACTGCAGTAAAGTAGAACAGCAGTACCAACATCCCATCATGCACATAAACTACTATGAGAACTCACTGTAAAGGCAAATTTTAACATGGTCCCTCTTACCTCCTCTTTTTACATGTGAGGTAAGAAGGTAAGAGTTAATCAAGCCATTCATTAATGAGATCAACGGCTAAGATCTATTTTATACTCTTACCTCTCATGTGAAAAGAGGGGGTAAGAGGGACCATGTTAAAACTGCTCCACTGTAAATCCTTATCAAACTCCGGAAGTAGTCAGGTTCGTTGACTTTCAATAGCTAGAGTCGCACTTGAGGCACCCTCGAGATTTTTTATCCTGGCCCAATGAACGACACACTTGGTATAGTGTCCCGGTGATTTATCTGGGCGGTGATTTATCTACTACATGTAGGAGCTGCACGACATCCCCAAGTTGTTCTTCGATCTGTTGCGGCTAGAGATCCTGGTGGACATCGGCGGTGCTGCCGCCATCGCCGCCCCCCACTGACGCAGCCCCGCCAACTTAACGCACTGATGCCCTCGCCCTAGGTTGCATCCTCCATGCCCATTGAAGTCCTGCCAGTCCTCACAAC